ACTCTGGGAAGCTGTGGGGGTGGTGGGTAAACGCCCCACAACAGACTGAAATTGAATGCGCATGCGTATAAAAGCTCACTCTTGGGTGTTCATGGGACAGATTGAAGACTAGGACAGAAGACTCCATCTGTATTAGAAATGTTCAAAAGTACTTCACGGAGGATAGTGGGGGTGAAAGCGCTAAACTAAATGATGTTAAAAATGAGTCAGACCTGAAGCTAACACTGCGCATGAGCTCTGTGCTCTCGCTGGTAACGTTGATTCCCATGAGACCGGGGCTAACAATTCTGAAACCAATGTATAAGTATGCTAGGAGCCAGCAATTAAGGAAATGGATGGCAGATGGTAAACACTAGGTTTCTTTCGCTTTGACTGGAAGTTTATAGATGGGCAAGGGAAGAGGTCTAGAATGATTCATTTAGGATTTACTGGATTAGAGTTGAGACATCAGCATGAACTCATGTTTAGTTTAATATCAATGCAGATAAATACACAGGAATAAATAATTAGAGATGTGTTTATATACGCCAGTTATTATACACATACATATTTCCTTGCCCTGTTAGCTGAGAGGGCCCAAAAGCAAGAGTGTTCATTGTAGTAACACGCACTCCCAGAACCCAGGTCTTGATCTCATAGTGTTCTTCCATACAAGGAAGAAGCATTCTTTGGATAAATGGCTGGTTGTAGGTGTGGAGCAGGAAAGACACATGGTAAGTGTGGGGAATTCTTAGTGGCAGGAAGGAAGGAAAGCCCACCCTGGAAGACTGTCAGGAGAACATCAGGTATCACCACTCAGTTGAGGAGGTCCCAAAGGCCAGAGCTGAGCAGCTTGAACCAAAACAATCAAACAAACAAACAAAAAAGGAACAAAATATGCAATGAAACCCACTGTGCTAAATAAGCATCTTTGAGTCCACGCCAATATAAACAAATATTTCAAGAACTAGATAGGAGAATGTGTCACACAGGAGACACATTGTTCACAATAAAGAATTCCATATTAGTTATGTAGTTGCCCATACTTCAGGGAATGGAACATTCCTACCCCTTAAATGTGGGCTCCACATGGGACTTCCTTCAAAAGAGCACAATAGAGGGAGACAGAAAAAGAAACTTCATCGTGGAGACACTGGACAGGCATTATCTCAGCAAGATGCTGGGTTGACGTCACGGTGATGTGTGTTGATTGTCCCTCTTCTGCTGTTTTGGAAGTTGGAGGCCAGCCTGAGCTACAGAGTGAGACCCTGCCTCAAAAGCCAAACTAAAAGCCATGAGGCAAAACAGACCTTTTCTCTTTACCAGTTAGTTACTTCAGGCATTTTGCTATAGTGGTAGAATGCAGACCAGTACATCTTTGTTCAAAAAACAATTGCTTCTCTATCTCTTAATCCTTAGTGCTATCGAAGAACACAGTGGGAAGAAAATTATTAATCAAAGAGTGCTTTTTGTGTTTTATTGAAATACGATAAGATGGGTCCATGCTGTGTGCCCAGAAAATTATGTGCAGGATTTTTAAATATTAAATTTAATTCTTCTTTCTGTACTTAGGTCAGGGACGTCTTCTGTGACAACACTGGTTTTACAGATAGAAGCAACACCTCCAGCTCTGGTCCATGGCTTCAGAGGCTCCAGCTCTTGGGGAAGAAAAAGGGGCACAGTATCCCACAGTCCTCTATGAAGGCATGTCCTCTGCTCCTCTTGCTCCAAGGCCTTCCATTAACCCCAGTCTCTAAAACAGGCCACGCCTCCAAACACACCACCCTGGGGATCGAACCTGTAACATTCAACATCCAAACCCTAGCATTCGAGTCTGACAGACGATCAGGAAAGCCTTACATCACCTTCTAGAGAAATTCAATTTCCCTTCTTAATCCACTCACTTCCGCCATTCTAACAGCTGTGTGAGTCAAGATGTTTAAACCTCTAGAGAAGTCTCTGGCTCCAAGAAGGTGCTGTCAGAAGTCCCTGGTGTTCGGCTCCCGGCACACCTGCTGAGTCTCTCACACTGTGGAGGGGAGGACAATGGTCAAGAGCTGGTGACGTCATCACCACATTCTGTGGTGAGAAACCATCAGCTACTTTAAACAAGAGTCTCTTCTTTCATTCCCTTGACAGCTGTGCACATTCAGTTTTAAATGATTACCTCACTCTTGACTTGATCTTAGGTAGAACAGGCCACCCACGCTTCCAATGGATCATTTCATTTACTCACGTTCTCCTCTTATAAGTGTACGTTGAAGGCTGACCACTTACCAGTCACTATGTTGGTAGTTGAGGAATATTAAGCATGAACAGCATTAACTAGCCTTCGTCTCGAAGGGGATCTTAGGAAAAATGCTTACATGGTTCGTTCTTTTTCTCCTGCCTCCTGGAAGTCTCGGTATATAAAGGGAGGGTCCGAGCTAAATTGTGTAAAGCTATTACTTAACATCCACCTCTCCTAGGCAGTGTCTCCTTGTGGAATTTACTGTAAATCAGGAGACTTGCATGTGGGCTGTTATCATTGTTAGTCCACCTGGGACTAACAATGGGCGCCCACCTGGGTGGTGTTTCCTGTAGTCCTTGAAAGTGGCCAAGGGAGATAATCTGATTCCAGAGAAAGCCTTTCCTGAGGCTGTTCTCCAAATACCTGGAATGTGTATGTCCAGAGAGTGATCAGTCTACACTGTTAGCCCTTGTTAGGGAAAAGTCAATTGGGAAAGCTATGAAGGCACACATGATTTTCATAACAGAAGACAGCTGATATATAACAAGCCAAGTAACACCAAAAACTCCTTGGGATTTATTTGGCTTCCTCTGGAGGAATTCCCTGATCCCTCCAGGTAGTGACTTTGCCATAACCAGCTGAGTTCTTATGATATATCCCTGCAGCCCGCAGCAAATAGGGAAGAGAGAGATTGAGAGAGGCACCCAACATCAATCTCTGGTCTCCACACACATGAATATATATGCATGCACACACACATATCACACACATGCACACACACACATATTGCGCACATGCACACACATATGCACACACACAGGCAAAAAAATAATAAAATAAAGAAGTTCATTAAGTGTGATAACAGACTCTGGACATTCTGAGAAACAAGAAATAAGAAATAAAATTAAAGGCACAGATAAAAATTTTGAAGGAACACCAGATACGACAAGCCGACAGGAAGTGGGTGTGCTTAAGACAGAAATGCAGGGACCTGGAGAGATAGCTCAGTGGTTGGGAGCACGTGCTGCTCCTTAGAAGACTGTAGCATGAATCTTAAAAGTTCTTATTAACAAGATCAAACCTGAGGCCAGTTTTTGTGGTGAAGCTGGAAGATCAGAGAGACAGAACAAGCCATAGCTACCTCACCACACCGGATCCTCAGCTGGTCTTGTTTCCTCAGACTGGAGGCCTCTGAGTCCTCATCCAGAATGGGTCTCAGCTGAACTGCTGCTAGAAGCCTGAAAGCTTAACCAGCCAAATGCTTCTAGTTTCTGGTCCTCACACCTTATATACCTTTCTGCTTTCTACCACCACTCCCTGGGATTAAAGGCTGGCTTTCTGGGATTAAAGGTGTGAGTCACCATGCCTGACTGTTTCCAATGTGGCCTTGAACTCACAGAGATCCAGAGGGATTTCTGTTTCTGGAATGCTAGGATTAAAGGCGTGAGTGCCACCATTTTCTAGCCTTTGTATCTAGTGGCTGTTCTGTCTCTGACCCCAGATAAGTTTATTAGTGTGCACAATATTTTGGGGAACATAATACCACCATAGATTCAGTTGCTGAAGGTCACACTGGGTGACTCAGAACCATCTGTAACTATGTTTCCAGGGGATACAACACCATCTTCTGACTTCCTCAGACACCTGTATACAAATGGTGTGAGCAAGACAATAAGACACACACGTGTGCACATAAATATGAACAAATCATAGACTTATTCTGAAAAGAAAGAAGGAAGGAAGGAAGGAAGGAAGGAAGGAGGGAGGGAGGGAGGGAACGAAGGAAGGAAGAAAGGGAGCCAAGTAGTGGACAAAGTTAAGAAGAAAGGCTGGAGACTGAATTAGCCGAGGTTACCCAGAGGAATGGAGCCAATAGAATATGTACAAGGATCTTAGAGATTTAGTATAAGGGATTGAGCTAAGAAACATCTGGAATCTGAAAAGTCCCACAATGTACACAAAGCTGGAGGCCCAGGAGAACTGGTGGTCTGGTTCTGGTCCAAATCCAAAGGCCTGAGAACCCCAGGAGCCAGGTTGGTAAGTCCTTGTCTGAGTCCTGAAGCCTAAGAATTCACAACACTGACTTCTCCGGGCAATAAAAGAGAGACGCCCCAGGTGACTCAGAAAGAGCAAAACTGTTTTTCTTTCAGCTTTTTGTTCTACTTGGGTCTCGGTGGCCTGGATGTCACCCGGTCATTTCGATAACGATGATATTTACTCCATCAACTGATTCAACTGCTAATCTCTTCCAGAAATGTCCTCACAGAGGCAGCCAGAAACATTTTTACCAGCTCTCTGGGTACCCCGTGGCCTATTCAAGTTGACACATAAAATTAACCATCACAAGGACTATTTCTGGAGGATCTTGAAGGCCGAGGTAAGATTTTATAACTCATTCATATTCAATACAGAGGTTCTGAGTCCCTGTAATGACAGGCTATCTTGTATTGGGCTAACATTTCCAAAGAATATTGAAAACAACTGTTTGAAAGTATTAGAGAGAGAGAGTAATCAAGAACAGACCGAACAAGGGGAGATTTGATCCTCGAGAAAGGACCCCAGAATGTAAAATCCACCCTGAGTTTTCCCGCTGGGAAACTCAGCCCCAGTGAGCTGTAAGTCATTCTGTACTCTTACTACACAAGTCTCCATGTAGAGGCTGATGTTGCTATCATGGTTAAAATCGAGGGATGAAACCCCAGAGAGAAGAGAGCCGGAAAGAATTCTCTTGAAAGGTGCATACAAACTGCTTACACCTTAGCTGACTGTTGAGCTATTGCTTACGAGAGGTGGGGTTCCAGGTAACTCAGCAGCAGAAATCTAGACACCCAGAATAAAAGAGATCTAAGATTGTATTTTACCCCCTGTGAATCAAAAATATATACGAGTATTAAGTATTTTATCCTAGGATTGAGGGGAAATGAATATGATTCAAGATTCATTTAACTCTTAACTGGGACAAAATTTAACACATTGTAGAAATATGACAAAATTCATATTTCAACCACCACATTCAATATAAAAAGAAGTACTAAGTACGTAAATCAACAACAGCAACAAAAAATTGTGGTTTACAGCCCAAAGAAAATTAGGTGAAAGAAGCAAATCCATGTCTGGTATGCAGACATTGTAATTAGATAACATAATTTAAAATGTGAAACATCTGCTGAGGGAAATTCATAAAAATTAATGAAACAGGTGAAAAGATTGATTTCAGAAAGGTATGGAAACCATAAAGGTGCCAAAAAGGAAACCCTAGAACGGAATAAAATGCAGTATTTTAGACTTAAAAAAAAAGTTTTAATTAGCGTTATGGTGGACATGAACTCCAAGACATACAATAAAAATTACTTAGTCTGGAACAGAGTAAAAAAAATTCGGCAAAACAATGAAAAGTCTTCAGTGACTATGGAGTGGTATCACACTGTCTAAAATGTGTGTGTGTGTGTGTGTGTGTGTGTGTATCTATATATGTGTAGTATGTGTGTATGTGGTGAGTATCTCTGTGTGTGTGTCTGGTGTGTGTGTAGTATGGGTGTATGTGGTGCCTGTGTGTATGTGTGTTTGTGTGTGTGATATGTGTGTATGTGGTGAGTGTCTGTGTGTGTGTGTGTGTGTGTGTGTGTATGTATGTGTCTGGTATGTGTAGTATATGTGTATGTGGTGTCTGTGTGTGTGTGTATTTGTGTGTGGTATGTGTGTATGTGGTGTGTATGTATCTCTGTGTGTCTGGTGTGTGTGTGTCTGTGTGTGTGTGTTGTGTGTATGTGTCTGTATATGTGTGGTATGTGTATATGTGGTGTGTGTGTGTGTGTGTGTGTGTGTGTGTGTGTGTGATTTATTGGGGAGGAGGCTGTGGGTGTGGGTACATACATTCATGGAAGGGTCAGAAGACAACTTTCAGGAGTCAATTCTCTACTTGCACCTTGTTTGAGGCTGGGGTTTTCTCTTGCTTCTGCCTCATCATGTGCTCCAGGCTGACTAGCCTGTGGACTTCTGGGTGATTCTCCTACATCTACCTCCCATCCTGTCATAGGACCATTGAGACTACAGTCTGACGTCACCACATCAGGCTTTACTTTGACATGGGTTCTGGGGTTCAAACTAAGGCTATCAGGAGCACGCAGCCTGCTCCTGTACACATGAGGCCATCTTACTACCCTCCCCAATCATGTTTCAGGGAGAGAGGGAGGGAGGGAGCTGAAATAGAAATGGCCACATGTCCCCATCCCTAACACAGAAGTAATCTCCAATTGATAACCACTTGAAAATGAAAATTTAGTTTTCTCCAAGGAAGTCTCACTGAGAAACAATCTACTCTGCATGCCCAGCAGTAGATGGACAGCAGAAAACAAAGTCAACGCCATCTTTGGAGACTTCTTGTCTCATGGCAATGTTAGGACTTCTCCTTTTTTAAAAAAAAATCTTATTTAATTTTATCTTATTTATACATTTTCATTTTTTTTCTTTCTTTTTACTCTACAGGTCCTTTGAACATACATTATGGCTTACCACTTAGTGTGTTCATGGGACTGTGGGTTCACAGAGTGGGTCTCTGTGTTTGTAGCTGTTCCTTGGGCCTTTTCTCGGGCTCTCTCCTTCTGCTTCTTTATTTTGTCCTATTCTAATGTGTTAGTTTTGTTTTGTCTTATTATATCTTACTTTATTATTAGCCCTTAGAAACCTGTCTGTTTTCCAATGAGAGACAGAAAACAGATGGATTCGGCTGAGAGGGGAGGTGGGAGGAACTGGGACAGGTAGAGGGAAGGGAGACCATAATTAGGAGGTATTGTGAGAGGAAAAACCGTATTTTCAATAAAAAAAAAGTTAAAAAAAAAAAAAAGATAAATACTGCAAAAACCAGCCAGTAAGTGTGGGGTTAAAGGGCACATGACGTTCAGAGGAGCAAAGTTAAAAAAAAAAAAAAAAAAAAAAAAAAAAAAAAAAAAAAAAAAACCAATTTTATCAGGAAATATCGGAAGACAAGAACAGGTCTCTTTCAGATTCCTTCTCAGTGAAACATCTTCCAAAAGGTTTACATTTTCACCTAAAAGGTTTAAACCTTCATTTAGACATCTTCTGGGCTGGGAAGACGGCACATGGTGAAATGATCCCACACAACCAGCACCCACGTGACAGGTGTGGTGCCACACTGGGAATCCGAGAGCTGGGGAGGCAGCCACAGCAAGTTCCATGTGGCCAGTGCTGGCCAGTTATCTAGCTCTCTTGAATGGTTCCTAAGGAACAACACCCGAGGCTGATCTCTGGCCTCCACACACCCATGCACATGTGTGATGGGCATTAAACACATCTGTGTGCCCACATACATACAAACACCTACGCATCCCCACACACTCTCTTGCGATATGTGTGTATATGTGTGTTTAAGACATTTTCTTAAGCAAGAAAGATATTTCCCACAAACAAATCAACATTTTAGTTTTAGGGTTGTTGTTTTTTTTTTTTTTTTTTTTTTTCCTTTTCTAGCATTTTATTGGAAGATAGATTCAAGGTCTAATCCTCAACCAAAGAGGATGAGACTATACTTTGAGTCAACCTACATGTTAAATTATGTATCTTGGCACATTAAATCATGGCAAGTGAGTATTACCTTTTCTATCAAGATACTTGCAGGAATACAGTCAAAGACAGACACGATGCTAGACAATTTAAAAAAAAAATTTTTTTTTTCTTCCCTGCCAAAGATGCATAGCAGAAGCCCCACACTGTGAGTATGGAAAATGCTTTCGGCTATCCACTGAACTCACTGTAGCATTTGAAACAATATATGTGACCAAGGTTAGTAAGAATTAATTTCTTTCTGGTGTGAGATTGAAATTTGTTCTGCTTGTTCTTAGCTTATGTTAAAACACACACACACACACACACACACACACACACCACACACACACACACACACACACACACACACACACACACACACACACTAGCATACACATCTTTAGTTTTATAATTTTATGTATCTACAGAAATAAATGTACATATGGCTACTACCCCGCCCAACTTAGTGTTAGGTTTAATAGTTGTTTTCGAAGTTAATTTAACAAATAACATTTTTAAATGCGGAAGGAAGATATTCTAATTGTTTCTGACATAGGAGCTCACTCTGCAGCCCAGACCATGCTGCCGCTGCCATGTCCAAATGAAATTTTGGTTCTTCAGAAAGGAATGAGGATGTAAAACAGTAAAAATATAGGTAAAAATGAAGGACTATTTTTCTTTCTTTTCTTAAAAGCATTAGAGTCTAATATATGTTCAAAGAAAAAATAGCATATTTTGAGATTTATAATATTTTAGGAGTATAGAAGCAATATAAAGAGATTATAAATGGATTAATAGTTGAGAATCACTGCAAAATATTTGAACAGAGAAATGGGCAGTAGAATGAGATTCAGCCTCCCTTCTCCGCCCCCCAACCCCATGCCCCAATATTCTCATAAAGCCCTGATGGTCTCAGACTTCCTATGTGGCCCAGGATGTCTTTGAACTTCTGATCTTTCCCCTCCACCTTCTAAGTTCT